CTTCTTGATAGAATTTTTCCCTTTAAAATGGGTCTCCCAATGTTGACTGCATGGTGAAGACTTTGAGGCCCAACTAATTCAGTGTGAGATAGGACAGCTTTGCCAAACTCACCAGGTGTTTTACCTGGAGATGCTGATTGAGGTTGGGGCCCAATCTGACGATCAAGGAGTTTGGGGAAACCCAGAGAGAAAAAGCTGCCTCAGGAAAAGTGAGCACCGCAAAGCTGTAGAGTGTGTGTGTGGCTCAGTCATTTTCCAGCAGTAGATTAGCAACCAGAATCACACCGGCATGTTTCTTCCCTGATACATACCAAACATTTAGGTCCCCTTTTGTCCCAGACATCATCTAACAGCTGCTAATAAGCAAGGACACTTAAATTTTTATCAATCCTTTTTGTGGATTACCAGTTCCATATTCTTCTCCTTTTTCTTCTTCCCACTGGTTGCCTTCTGACTCAGTATATCTGTCCCAAGGGGTTGCACATTAAGTGATGGGAAAAAGAAGAATGGAAACTCCTGTTTTTCAGTTTGCTATTGCTTGGTGAGATGACAGTTAAGAGGTTGGGAATTGTTCCAGTAAAGTCCTTTAGAAGCTAAACAAGCATCTGTGTATGCATCTGACTTCTACTTCTTTTTCTTTTTTTGTCATAAAGTGTTTGACATGGCTTAAAAGATTCTATGCAGTAAAATAGAAGAGTACATAACTCAGTGGAATTAGGAACAATATAAACTAGAATAGAAAGTTAAGAAAGGAACAGATACATTTCTCCCAGCATGAAGCTCGGGCTTCGGTGAACTCCTGCTTTGGGTGCAGGCCCAGTGGGCGGGCTTCCCTGCGGGGTGGAAAACAGAGACTCAGCGGCAGAGCACACAGCTCATTAACAATTTCTGCAAATACATCTCTGTTAAAAAGTTGGAGCGAGGCTGAGAGTTAGGTGGGTTGACTTGGAATTTGCCTTTACTGTTACCACAGTATTTAGCTAGACTCTCCTCCCACTGATCTCTTTATATTTTTCCCAGAAAAAGCCACTTGTCTGTGCTCAGCGTTCAGCCCCAGCCCCTCCCGCAGTGAGATCATTGGCTCACAGCCAGCCTTTCAAATGGGGGGCCTTCACGGCTGCATCTGCCTGGCGACCTCCTCCTGACCCTCCTCCCCGGGGATTTAAGCTCTGGTTTACCACCAGCCCTCTGCTAATGCCGGCACTTTCTTGTCAGAGGCTTCTTAAAGGGGAAAAGCCTCCTTTTCTGTCTCCTGTCTGCCTTGTCCCTTCATTTCCTTCCTCCTCCTCCTTTCCTTCTTTCCCTTCCTCATCCCCTCTTCCTTCCCTTCTCCTGATGTGTATCATCCAGTAAGCTTTTTTTTTTGCGGTACGCGGGCCTCTCACTGTCGTGGCCTCTCCCGTTGCGGAGCACAGGCTCCGGACGCGCAGGCTCAGCGGCCATGGCTCACGGGCCCAGCCGCTCCGCGGCATGTGGGACCTTCCCGGACCGGGGCACGAACCCGCGTCCCCTGCATCGGCAGGCGGACTCTCAACCACTGCGCCACCAGGGAAGCCCCATCCAGTAAGCTTTTTATGGGCATATTTATTGTCCTCTGGGTAGGAAAAGGAATAAGAAACTGTTTGGACTGTGGAGGAGCTCACAGTGGGAGAGAAGGTACCTGAAACTAGTGATTAGGAGTCTGTGATGGGTGTGGAGCAGGAAGGTCTGTTCACCTGGAAGAGAAGCAATCAACCGCTGAAAAGTCTTCACAGAGGAGAAGTGAGCCTGAGCTGGGTCCATAAACCCGAGCAGGTTGGAGAGGGGGTGGCGGAGTGTGATGGAGGGGGACATTCTGGGCAGAGGCAGTGGTCCATTCAAAGGCTTGGAATTGTGAAAGGATGAGGTGCAGGGTCTGAAAGATAGAGAGGGAGGAAGGGGGAGGTGAAGGAGATGAGCTTGAGGGGGGTGAACCGCGCTTTAGAGAGTGAATAGCCTTTAGGATATGGACTTTGCCCAGTAGGCCACCGGAAGTCAGAGGAAGTCTTTGAACAGGGAAGGTTGGGTTTCAAGATGCTCCCTCTGGCAGCAGGGAGATGCTGTGGGGAGATGAGCCCAACAGTGGAGAGAGTGGAAGGAGCCCATGCGGGGAGTGTAGAGTTTGGGAGAGAGATGAAATGGGCTTAAACAGAACCAGCAGCCTTGAAGATGGGAAGAAGAGGTAGAACAGGTGATCAATCAGCTGTTGAAAGGGAAGGAGGGAGAGGAGTTAGGAGCCTAGGAAGGAGCTGCTGTCTTGAATGAGATGAATAGGGAATACACTAGTCCCCCTCCAGGAAGTCCATTTTTCTTTCATCGATTATTTTTTTATTCCTCCGCTCCTTTTAAATCATCTTAAAATCCATCTACCTGAGATATTGTCTGATTCATCCATGGTTTTCTGAATCCCAACCTTTCTATTTATACCAGTGTTTCCTTTGTAGGTATTAATCCATTCGTCCGTTCCACCAACAAATGTTTATTGAGGACCCACTGTGTGCCAGGCACTAGATTTGGGCCTGGGGGGGCACAATGGTGAAAAGACAAAGTGTATCCCCTCACTGAAGCTTCTAGTACAGAGAAATAGACAATAAAACATATTATTAAATAACCTAACATGAAGTAGTTTGTGGGGGGTGTGTGGTATGAGGTGAAGTTTGAGGGGTTGGCAAGAGTCAGACCATACCAGGCCCTGTACACCAAGGTCAGGAAATGGAGTCATATCCTAGGAGCAATAGACAAAAAGCCAGTAGGGCTTAGGGTGACAGAAAGCGGAAAGACAGGATTCTGGAATGTGTCTGAAGTTTTGCGACTTGAGACACTGTGTTGATGGTAGTGTCATATACTGAGGCATCACTGTGTATTTTTCAAGTGCATGGTATATGTTTCATGTATATTATTCTGCTAGCATCACAACTGACTCAACTCACTCAACTCCCTGTGCTCCATACAATGTGATTGATACAGGCAGTAAATAGATAGGGATTTAAAATCAGGTGATGTGTCACATATAAATGTGTGCTTCCACTCTTGATTGGGGCCATTTATAAAAGTTATGTATTCGGGGCAAAAGAACCATGAGCTGTCTTAACTTTTTCTAATGAGGTGAGGAAAAGGGTTGAAAGGGAGAAAAAAAAAACCCACCAAAACTGAGGTTGAAACAAGAAAATCTCCTAAGAAAAGTCTGGTCCCTCCTGCTGACAGCGCCCCCTGCCAGAGGTTGAGTTGGGGAGCCAGAAGATGACAACCGATTGAGGTGCCCAATCTGTGAAGCCTTGGGGGCCAGGGAAGGGGAGGCGTTTGTGGGCACCGTGGGTGGAATGAATGTTCCATGATCTGCCACGGTCTCTGTCTGTCTGGTTCAGGCCAGGATTCACTTGGGCATCTGTGCTGTTTGGTGTCGGAGTGGGGAAGCCTCTGAGTTTCCCTTTGGATTGACATAAACCAGCAGTGCTCCAGTGCCTGGGCTGTCTCTGAAGAAGGAGAACAGGTAGAGAGAGGGTCCGATGATGAGAATTTTCCATTTTATGGCAGTGATGGCTTGAAATGCCTAGAATGGTTTGTTAGCCTTCCTTAGCTTAAGAGACTGCGTTGTAGATCCCTGGTAAAGTGGAATGCTAGAATAGTTTGTTTCCCCTCCAGTGTTTTGGATACTGAACCTTTCAGGGAAGAATTTACTAAATTGCTACATAAGTGAATTGACTACGAAAGACTTGCACACATTTATTTGAAACATTAATTTTATTTTCTCTGCTTTAAAAGGTAGTGGGTTATATTTTAAAATCTTTTTGTTGCGGTTGTTACAAAGGAAAACTAATCAAAGGTACATGTCATCTTAATAATTGGTTTCAAGGTTTATTATATGGCTTTATATTTACATAATGCTCTACAGTGTACAAAAACAGTGTTACATTTTTTCCACCTGATACACACAACCCTGGCTGGTGAGCAGGGGTTGTAACCCCCTTTTCACAGATGAGGAACTGAGGGAGCTGAGGAACGAGTGAGTGCCTCAGTCACTTACTTAGGAAGAGATTTCGGACTTGAATCTCCATCCTTTCATTCCACGGCCAGCGATCTCCCTTCTTCTGCATTTTGGGTGTGAAGACCCACAACAAAGGCGGGGATGGGACCCATGACTTTTGAGCTCCTGTTAGTTAATCAGCAGTGGCAATGCCACTCATGCATCTCATCTCATTGAATCCTAATAACTCCAGGGCAATTATCACCATCCCCGCTTTACTGTTGTAGAAAAATGTGCTCTGGGAGGTTAACTAACCTAAACTGGTGAGTGGTAGGGCTGGGATTTGATCAGGCCATCCAACTTCCAAGCTGACTCTCTTAACCAGTAGCCTGCCTGTACTATCTCACGAGGAAAGATCACCCTGCATCTTTAAAATTATTAGATAACGGCAACTTTCATTTTATGGATTTATTAAATTGTTCTCCACTTTCAGACAAGGGTTAAAGTACATAGCTTTTCTGAACATTTTTTTACAAAATAAGACAAATTTGCAAGACATCAGTTCTTGCCACTTGGAGGAGAATGAGACTAGCAGTCTTAAATACTCTCTGGCTACAGCATTGTTATTTGATGGTATTTATAAGAATATGGAACAAGGAATTTCTGTCCTGTGGAACTCATGTGGCATGTCACAGGGTCAGTGGATGATCTTAGGACTTCTACTAAACCCAGATGACGATTTGCTTAACCCTGGGGTTTTGGTATACTAATTGCTTCTTAACACGAATATTTCATTCATTACTTTTGAACCAAAGTAGGCTTTCTTTGTATTCATTTCTTGGTTTTCATTTTGTGCTACTTGTGCATATAGGCCCATGTTCTCTGATGGGAGATGCATAACAGGGCCTCGGTTTAGCTACTGATGTAGCGAAACTTATGGTATGAATTATGCTGTGCCAATTAGTGTTGCTGTATTTTCTGATTTTAAGAAATGACACTAATGTGTTTTTTTTCGTAGATGACTGCTACGCTGAGAAACTTGGTTGACTCACCACTAGCAAGAAGTAAGTTGCTAAGCATCAGTGCCCTTCCCCAGCTCTGCACGGTGATGGGACAGTACATAGGTGACAAGGAGGTCTGCACCAATGTTGCCAGAATATTCAGGTAGGTAGACTAGGAAAACAAAGTAGCCTTACAAAAATGCTAATGTTTAGATTTAGGGGGTTATTTTTAATATTTGTGTGTGTGACTGGCAAGGAATCCTGTTTTTACTTTTTATGTCACCTCAAAGAAAAGGTAAATCTAGTGGCCTGAGTTTTTAAAAAAATGATTTAAACTAATGACTTCATTTCTTATGTATTTCTATTGTGATTCTAAACTCATTGATTTTAAGTTACTGTAACTAAAGTTGTGAGTTGTCCTAGTATTTTTACAAAACAAACAAACAAACAAAACTTCCTCTCAGCTTATTGGAGATAAAGAGCTATATCACAAAACATGGCAAACCTTCTGGTGCGCTTGGAAGCAATGCTTACGGATTTTAACTGAAAAAGGAGGCCATTGCTTAGAAAGACTGATCTGACTTAATTTGTAATCGAAGGTCATTTTATTTCAGTTGTTTGGCTGAACTTTGGCTCACACATTCACTAGTCATGTTTATACTTACTTTTCTCCAGAAGCAATGATCACCTGAATCCAGGCTGCCTCAAAGCAAGATGTGGCTAAATTTCGGAACTGTCTTTAAATTATGCATTTATATTTCTTCCCTCACTGCTCTTTGCCATTGTTTTTTACATAACGATCCTTCTCAAGAGACCTGGACCTTTCTTGAACTATAATATTGTAGTTGTTTAATTAAATACAAAATTTCCTGAAGACTGAATTGGTAATTGACCCCAATATGAGGATGTGAGTCCAGCTTTGATCTTTTAGCACTGTGCTTTCCTGTCTGGGTACTTAGTCCCATTTTGAAGCACTATAAAATCATAAAAAGTTTATTTTTGTATATGGTGGCATGTAGAGATCCAATTTAATTGTTTTCCCCACGTGGACAGTTTTCCCAGCACATGTTATTGAATACACCACCCTTTTTTCACTGTGTTTGAATGCCTAGTCAGTAGAACACGAGGTTCCATATACTTGCAGGCCTGTTTGTGGACATTCTGTTTGGTCCGTCTTCAGACCAGTTCCATGCTGTTTTTACTATTCTGGATTTAAGTCTTGCTGTAGGATAAGATGAATCCCTCACTTCTTTTCTCCTTTAAGATCCAAATTCTTATTTTCTCTTCCTCATGAATTGGAGAATCAGCTAAAGTCCATGACAGGAACTTTGGATTTTTTTTCATGAAACTACATTGACTGGGTAGAGTATCTGGGACAGACGTGGGGATAATTGATTAGCATCTGTATGATATCGAGTCTTCCATCCACAAACATTTGTGATGTCTTCTTCTTTTAATAAAATTGTATAACTGTCTCCAAAAAGATTCTGTACATCTTTTGTTAGATACATTTCTTATCTTTTGTTAGATACATTTCTTCACGGTGCTTGCTGCAATTATGAATGCAATCTTCAAAAAAAAAACAATTCTAATGAGTGTTGCTAGTATATATGGATAGTACTGATGTTTGCTTATTAATCTTGTATCCAGGACATCTTTTTTTTTTTTTTTTTGCGGTACACGGGCCTCTCACTGTTGTGGCCTCTCCTGTTGTGGAGCACAGGCTCCGGACGCGCAGGCTCAGCGGCCATGGCTCACAGGCCCAGCCGCTCCGTGGCATGTGGGATCTTCCCGGACCAGGGCACGAACATGTGTCCCCTGCATCGGCAGGCGGACTCTCAACCACTGCGCCACCAGGGAAGCCCCAGGACATCTTGATTAACATTAGGTCTAAGAGTTAGTGTATAGATTCTCTTCGATGTTCTATGCAAATTGTATGCAAATAAGTCTACTTTGGGGTTTTTTTCCCATGATCACAACTCTTGGCCCCTGTCCCCACCTTTTTCTTAGGTGCGTGGCTTAGGATGTCCAATACAAAGTTGTGAGAGTGTTGAACCAGCTGACTTTCTCCTGAGTTGAAAGGAAATATTTTTGTGGTTTTGCCAGTTGAAATTAATGTTTGTTGTAGGTTTCTGTAGCTACCCTTGGACAGTTAAGGAACAATTTTCTCTCATTAATGGATTTTAAGTTTCCTTGAATACTTGCCTCGAATGTATTTTGATTATGTGGATTTTCTTAACAGATTTTCTCATGTTAAGCCATTATATATTGCTAGATTTGCTTAACTAATATTCTGTTTAGTATTTTTCATCTATGGTTATGAGTTACATTGACCTGTATGTTTCCTTTCTCATATTGTCCGTGTCTGGTTTTAGTGTCAAGTTTATACCAGCCTCATAAAATGAGCTGGGATATATTCCAACATTTTCTCTCTTCTAGAAGAATTTCTGAAAATTAAACTTACCTGTTTCTTGAAAAGTTTGTAGAACTTGCTTGAAAGCTGTTTTATCCTGGTGTGTGTATATGTGTGTGTGCATGCATGCATGTGTGAATGTCATTGACAACTGATTCACTTTCTTTAATAGTTATATGTCTAGTCATATTCCTGTTTCTACTTGATTCAGTTTCTAAAAGTTATATTTTTATAGGAATTTGTCCATTTAAGTTTTCAAACTGTATAAAGTCATCCCAAATATTCTATTATCCTTTTAATCTCTATTGCATCTCTAATTATGCCCCTTTTGTTTATATTATTTATTTAAGAAATACTTATACAGTGCCTACTATGTGCCAGGCAATGTTCTAAGCACTTTCCAAATACTAATTCATTTATTCCTTACAACAGCTTTAAAAGGTGGGTACTATTATTATTATCTTCATTGTACATATGAGGAGACTGAGGCATAGAGAGGTTTGGTAGTTTTCCCAGGGTCACACAGCCATGATTTAAACCAGGTAGTACGGCTCTAGAATTCATACATTTAAAAGCTATATTACACCGCCTCTTCATTTTTTTTTGCTGTATGCGGGCCTCTCACCGCTGCGGCCACTCCCATCGCGGAGCACAGGCTCCAGATGCACAGGCCCAGCGGCCATGGCCCACGGGCCCAGCCGCTCCGCGGCATGCAGGATCCTCCTGAACCGGGGCACGAACCCACGTCCCCAGCATCGGCAGGCAGACTCTCAACCACTGCGCCACCAGGGAAGCCCCCGCCTCTTCATTTTGATATTGATTTGTATTCCTTATTTTGATGATTTGTGATGTTTCTCTTTTTCTCTTGATCAGTCTTGACAAAGGTTTGACAATTTATTAGTTTTTGTGAAGAACCAGCAGATTATCTAACCACTCTGTTGTATGTTTATTTTGTATTTTATTCCTTCTGTTCTTATCCTTAATAATTCCTATCTTCTATTCTTTTGGGATATATTATATTTTCTTCTGTTTTGATTAGAAATTCAATTCCTTTCTTTTCAGCTTTCTTAAGGTTATAAATTTTCCTCTAACTACTGCTGTAGCTGCATCTCACAAATTTTGATTTGTAGTGTTTTTGTTATTATTCACATATGTGTTTTTCTATTTTCTTATTTATTTGACCCACAAGTTATGTGTCTTTAAATTTCCAAAAGTAAGTTTTTTAAACAATGTGTTTTTCATTGATTTCTAATTTAATTGTACTTTGACCAGAGAATGTGATCTGAGACACTGGTTCTCTGAAAATTTACTGAGACTTGTTAATGGCCTGGCACATGATCAAGTTTTTAAAATATTAGCGATGTTTTACCTATTAATCTATCACTTCATGAGAAATTTATGAACATCTCCCAATTTGAGGTAGGTTTGTCAACTCCACCTTGTGAGTTTCATTGTTTTCTTGCTTACTTTTGAAAATTTGAAGCTATTTTCAAGGCTTTTTGCCTTAAGGTCTATCTTGCCTGATATTAATATACCACTAACAGCCTAGTATATTTGAGCATTTTAACGTTTACTTTTACTGGAGTCCCAGGAGATTGACTGATTGATATCCAGCCAGATTTTGTGTAAATTTCTTCGCTTGTGTTTTCTGAACCACATGGGCAGTGTAAATTCATACCTTGTACATATGTTAGAGGCTTCAGGTTTCTCTTTTTCAAAGAACTTGAAAAAAAATCTTCCCTCCTCCCACTCTGTGCCCCTGGAGTCTAGAGCAGACAGTGCACCTCCTTGAGGCTTCTCTGGACCGGTGTGTACAGTATTTCCAGACTGCTTTTCATGCACAGAACAGTGCTTTGAAGGTCTGCATTTAAAGTGACCCTAGGTATAGTTGAACTTTATTGAAAAACAAAGTTTATTTTTATTTTTTCCATTTGACATTTCTGCAGCAAAGTTACTACTTATCATGACTGCTGTGTAGCCTTGGCCAACTACTCCAGATGTTATGCCTTGTTTTTGAATCTGATAAACAAATACCAGAAGAAGCAGGTCAGTTTTTCATACATTTAATTCTTCAGTGTGTCTTTGCATTGGTGTATTTGTGTAAGCCCATGTTTTTTTAAATATTTATTTATTTGACTGTGTTGGGTCTTAGCTGTGGCACGTAGGCTCAGTAGTTGCAGCCAGCAGGCTTAGTTGCCCCACAGCATGTGGGATCTTAGTTCCCTGACCAGGGATCAAACCTGCGTCCCCTGCATTGGAAGGCAGATTCTTTACCACTGGACTGCCAGTCAAGTCCCTGTGTAATCCCATGTTGAATAACTTTATGTTTTGAATGTATAGGTTTCTATTAGAAGCTTCCATCCGTTGTGTAACGAGCTTCCCCAGGAGGCAGAGTTCCACGGGGGAGGTGGGGAGGGAGCAGTTTGAGGGAGAAATGGCCTCAGTAGGATGTGGATGCAGTAGGAGGATTCACGATTTGGGGTGCAGGGTGGGTGGACCCCCCCAGTGTTGCTCCTCCCAGTGATCTGTGGACCCGTACATGAGAGGCATCTTTGGGTGGGGTGGGGTTAACCGGGTTATTTCCAGGCCCCACCCCAGGCCTGCTGAGCCAGCTGGGTGCACGTGGGCCTAGCCATCTGCACTTTAACAAGAACTGCAGGGACTTCTGATGCAGACTAAAGTTGGGGATCTCCTACGCTGGATATAGTCCAAAGATTCTTCTGGTCCTGAAATTCTCTAATTCCTTGACACTGCTGTATTTAGAAGATGACATTTCTAGGTAAGTATTTAAAGGAAATAATTTGGTTTTAATGGATTGGACAAAAATGTGTATAGCTGTTTAAAAAGAAAAAAAAGGGAAGAACTCACAAATGACTTCCCCTTAATAAAATTATAATAGTACAAATGTTACGTTTTATTAGAAGTTTTTGAATATTCATTAAATGCAGTATATAAATAAAATGCTTAAAGTGACATCAACTCTTTAGTGGAGACGGTTTATACATGAAGACAATATATATTCATTTGAAATACAGTAAATTTTCAAAATCACATAGTAGGTATCACCAGTTTAAAACCAAATAATTTATGTATATATAAGACCATTTTAATATAAAGCTTTGTGTTTATTTATATTAACCATATCAAAACCACCTCAAAATATAATCCCTGTTTGCCACAAACAGCGTTGAACTTATTCTTACCCAGCCAAGTACTTCTGCCGAGAATGACTAAATTTGTCATATTTTACACTATTATCAGCTATTTATTAAATGGTTACTAGTGTCTTTTTGGTTATATAGATGGTAGAGAAATTTCTGTGCTCATATTACACCATTACTACATTTTAAAGGTGATAAAACTTTGCTTAAAGTGTTAATGTTTCCATTTAACTTTAAAAATCTGACTCACAAATAGGCACTTGAGTTCCTGATTCTGAGTATTTGGATTACAAATGCTTTCCCCTATGTATTTTGTATTTTCTTTAAATTACATACCTTGAAAGATTTCCTGGTATAAGAATTTGCTGTGTCAGGTGGAGAATGAATTTGATTAATGTACCTTAAAGTAGTCACAGTGTTAATTTAAGTGTCCATTAAGCATTTATTGATTTAGATTTTGGTACAATATATTACCAGAACTCTAATCTTTAGACAAGTGAATTAACCCCATAGGAGCTTAGGCACTCCTAGTCCTCGTTTTCTTTTTTAAGGAAAAAATTAAAAGGGTAGAAAAGATAGTTTGCTATAACATTAAAAGGAACTTTTCAATATTATATCTAAAAAGGGATTTAGTTATGGATTTTATTTTGCAGTTTTGTTTTATGGGATTCCTTTATGGGTTTTAATTGTAATATTATTTTATCGTCATTGTTTCTCTTTTGCTTTGGTGTTTTGATCATGGATGACTTAGATTAGACATAACCGGAGAAGATGTTTTCAAATGTGGATGAAAGAAAACACTTCTGTTTTACAGTTTGATTTCAAGTTATGTCGTAACCTGTAATCTGTTTGAAAAGGAAGAAAACCTATCAGTTCAGTACTGACAAATAGCCCTGTTGTCTTACAGCATTACGAGCACATAACTGTTTCTCTGATTGTAGCTTAGATGATGGTCATATTTAATAAACAGTGAAAAGTCCTGGTATCCCGCTAATATTAGATACTTGAGATGTCAGTATGGTTAAGGATATGCTTTTTCTGACTCAAGGGACCAAATGTCTTAAAGTTTAATTGGCATAAAATTTTAACGCACTTCTTACTGAACTACTTTTCACTTTGGACCAATAGTTGTCTGTAAAGCAAAACTGGTGTTTAAAGGCCATATACTTCTCTGTTGATTTATGTTTTAATTTTGTGTTCCTGTTAAAGTTATTTTGGTCCAAAGAAGAATAAAAGAGCATCTTGCAAACTAAGTACAGTAATATGTTGTTTTCAGAACCATCAAGGAAATGTGTAATTTATCCCCTTAATCACCAAAATTATTTTAATCATTGTGGTAAAATCATATTCAAATATATTGCATATTTCCTTGCCTTCTTAGAGGATATTAAAAATAATTTAACCTCTTCTTGATGCCAAAGGTCAATATTACAGGTATTAATTGTTACTCTAGAGGTTATTTGTCCTACATTGGGAGCATGAGTCTATTGATAAGGTTCTTTAAATGTCTGCATCTTCTTCTTGTAGATTTCTCTCTCCCTTTCCGTGGTTATTAACTTTGCCTTTGGTAATCATTAACTGTCTTTTGCATTTATTTGCAATTAGCAGGGGAAACTGATAATCAAACTTGTTAAAAGTAACACCTAAATAGCCTAAAAGTTGAACGTGAATAGGTTCTTAGCGAGAAAGGCTTGAGGGACTCTCTGATGAAGTTTCTCTTGTCCCTTCTCCTCTTCAAAAGACAATTCATGTTTCAAGATGTAGCGCTCATGTTCCCTTCTCTGTGAAGCCTTCTAAGACCAGCCAATTTTTCCCTCATCAGTGCTTCATTTTATTTTTATTTTTAAAATGTTTGTAGCAGCTTTATATGTAATAGTCAAAAACTAGAAACAACCAGATGCCCTTCACTGGATAAATGGCTAAACAAACTGTGGAATATCCATACCATGGAATACTATTCAGCAATAAAAAAGAGTGAACTATTTATACACCCTACAACTTGGACGAATCTCCAATTATGCTCAGTGAAAAAAAGCCAATCCCCAAAGTTTACATACTGCACGCGTCATTTTGAAGACTTTAATGTAGCTAGCACACCCAGTTAGTATAGCCAGAGCTAAGGACCCAAGCAGTATGTCCCTGACCTCAACCATTTCACTATTATTAAGAAAAACTAACAAAAACTTAGAACTAGGGTGTGGAGTAGGAGCCTAGATGTCCTGACAAAGTCATGCTAGGGCATTAATGGGCAGGGCTTAATTCTCAAGGAGAATATATCTTTGTTTAAACTTGCTGTTTACTATTTGATTAGAACCCAGACACTATAAAGTTACACATTAATTTGTAGATTTCTCTCTGGTAGACAAGATAACCTCAAAGTTATGTTTTGTCACCTTTAGGCTATTAGCCAGGTGTGTATCTAACCTAGTAATCTTAATTCTAACATTCTTTTTAATGCCTGTAAACCCCCCAGTTCTTTGATTGTTTGTGGAGCCCACTTTACCATTGTATTGGCTTCCCTCATTAAACGAGATAATTTTTTAAATTGTGTTAATTTTATATTTCTTTGAGAGCCATGTTAACTTTTTAAAAATTATACTTTGACTCTATATTGTCTTTTACTTATGTAGAAGAATGAAATATTACAGTTTTGAACCATCTTTGATTTTTTTCTAGTAAGAAAAAATATGTATAATTCATATTTTCCTCAAAACCAAAATATTTTAGAAGAGCATGGAAATTGTTCAGGCTACAAGGAAGTAGTTATGTGTCCCAACTATTTCCTAAAATCACTAACCAGAAGCTCTCATAGGTCTTTGTAAATATTTCTTCTGTGATTCTCCAAATGATTATCATTTGCGTAGCTACCTCACCCACTGTTGGGATTTCCTGAGGACATAGTCTTTGTCTTTATAAACCTGAGATGATTCTTGGCATAACAGACTCATGATAAAAGTGCTGAAAGAATGAATCTTCAGTATGTGAGATGCTTTGGAATCTGTAAAGTATTATACAGGATTTTTTTCTAGTCATCTAGTACTTCTTCCTTAAATGTTTACTTTCTTCTTCCTACTTTGGAGGAGGAAATAATAATTTTCCCCACATTTTTCACATTGGTGGGCTGCCATACACAATGGCAAAACAGAAATGATGGATCTTAAATTACTTTGGACCAGCACAGCATCTTAGGTTCCTGTTCCCCTCAGCCCAGGTGACCAGTTGGATAAGATTTGTTTTTCCTCTTTGCCTAGAGATAAAAGTGATTTTCAGAAACCGCACACGACATTCTGATGTGAGTGTATTAATCTTTGGTGGCTCAAACTTTGCTCCATCTGAAGTTTACTTGGACGCTGAGGCTTTGAACTGATCTTTGAAACATACACCAGTCCTCCAGCAACTTTTAAAATAGAGTTATTACTTCCTGGAACTATTTTTGTTTCAGCTCTAGGAAATGTTTCTCTTAGGCTAACTTGGATTGTGGACACATATGTACTTTGGAGGCTTTATAGTCTCTTAATGTACACAGATATCACCCAGGGATTAATAATCAGAAAAAGTCTATAGACTTTGTTCTGAGAGGTTAGTGTTGCCTTTGTCTTAAAAGTCTGAAGACTACATTGGCAATTGGGAGATTTCATTTTTCTGGGCCTTAGCCATAACATAAATCATGAATCATGGGGAGGGGGAAGGGCAAGCTGTGACGAGGCGAGAGAGCGGCATGGACATATATACACACTACCAAGCGTAAGATAGATAGCTAGTGGGAGGCAGCCGCATGGCACAGGGATATCGGCTCGGTGCTCTGTGACCACCTGGAGGGGTGGGACAGGGAGGGTGGGAGGGAGGGAGATGCAGGAGGGAGGAGATATGGGAACATATGTATAT